TTTTTTTTTTGTACTGTTTTGTCTCGTGATTTTTTTAAATTGGTTGTAAAATGATAACAGTTTCAGTTTTTTTTAAACCTACTGATTAGCATCTATTCTAGCGATACAGCTGAAATTTTGGAAGTCATAGGTCTAAGCCAACAAATCAATTGTGGCACTGTATTGTTGTAACCAGGAAAACTGAAAAAATTCTGTTGAAAACCATGCGTTTTATAAGTAAAATTTTTAACACTGATCTTTACAGTAGTAAACTGCAAATAAAGCACGGGATTTTTAATCTTATTTGTGGAATTGAAATGTTTATCGGTGAAAATTAGTTTTAAGTCATTACCCTATTCAGATTGATGTTGTTTTAAAGTTTCTTTTTTAAAATGTAAATAAAGAAATGCTTTTTTTTACTGGTCTAAAAGATCTAATTCCTAAAGAAGCTTTGGATACTGAAATGTTAGTTTAACAAAGTTGAAGACCTTGGCTTTGGCTAATTCGTCTGTCATTATTAAGCTGAGTTCCGTAAGCGCAGCTGTGTATCGTTAAGATCTGCTTTAATACTTTAGACTAATTTCTTGTTTAGCAAAACTTAGAGAAAAAAAAAACGAAAATCAGAACGAGCATAGCCTGTTTATCAATTATTTCAAGAAATATAAGTTTAGAAAGCATTTTAATTTGAAAAATGTTGTTTTACTAAGATATTTTCTATCTGTTACAAGGTATATATAAAAATATTAACAAATTAAGAGTGCTTTTCAACTCGACTGATATTTTTTAAACTGGTTGTTGAAGACGACAGAAGAACTAGATAGCCTTATTGAAACAAGAAAAAAAATTCTTTGTAAAATAATTGATGATACCTCAAACAGCAATATTTCGATAAAATTTGTTTTATGATTTAATTATTGTTGTGGTCACAAAAAATATACATAAATATAAATATAAATAAATAATTAAAACAAAAAATCATGCTGAATAAACTGTTGAAATGCATCTGAGTTGAGTTACTGCAAATGAGGACATCAATTTTTATGGAAAGGATACAATGCCAAATACTGTATTCTATTTATGCCATTGTTTGAAGATAAAAACAAACTTTTTTTTTTGCTTAAATAGTTAATGAAATAATCTTAGCAAATTTTGTTAAAAATTAATGATAAAAGAGTGAAAAAAGAAGAGAAGGAGATGGCAAAAAATGG